TAAGGAGGTCAGTCGTTGTTTGGTTGGTTTTTTAACTTTTTATTTTAAAAGGTTGGTTTTTTTGTTTTGGTTTTTTTTTGGTTGGCTTTCATTGGGGGACTGGAAGCAGGGAGGGTGTTGATGAGCGTCTGTTGTACATATAAAAACACATGGGGTTTACATCGCTCTGTCTGTTTGAAGCAGCACAGGGAAGGGAGCAGCCCCAGCAGATGCAGGGGACAGCCTGGACCCCAGGCAGCCCCCCAGTGCAACAGCAGGGGGATGATGTCCCACATCCTGCTGCGGAGCAGAGGGAGGCAGCCTCCCAACGCAGCTCAGATGTGGGAGGCCCCAGTCCCAACCAGACAGCAGCAGCAGGACCGGACTGACTGCACACAAACACGAGAGCATCCTGCATCCTTGGTGCAGGGAACCACGGGAGAACAGCAGGGTGGGTTGTGTGGGCACCAGGACCCCCAAAAGGAAAGGCTTTCAGCTGGTCTGTACCTTCCTCAGCACAGGCACCGGGCTCTGCCTTCATCCTGCAGGAGGAGCTTGGCACTGAGCACCCAGGCAGAGCTCTGTGTGCAATGGGAAATGTCACAGGGAAAAGATATATCATATCTGTGTATTTTTGTATGGCACGAGGAGTTGTTTACCAAAGGCCCAGCTCCCAGCACTGCAACATTTCTGCCAGCAGCCCCTGCCCTCGTGCTGACACAGAGCCAACACCACAGCCCTAGCAGCAGCCACAGAGCCTTGGGGAAGGTCTGGAAGTGCAGAGCAGCCCATGGCTTCACATCCACCCCTTTCTTTCCCCTGCCTTCAGAAAAAAAAAAAAAAGAGCATCGGTTCTCTTTTATTGAAGATGGTTCTTTTTTTTTTTTAAGCAAACAAATCCTCAGCTCTTTTTTCTTGTTTGTTTCCTTCCTTCCTCATGGCGTGATTGAGTGGAAATTCGTGTCAGTAAATCAGTAAATCTAGTTTTTGTTTGCCAAGCTGGAAACGCAACTCAAGAAAATGTATTTTTGAGAGAGAGCAGAGCTGGTTCGTTTGCTCAGGAATGTTGGTATTTTTATTATTTGGTTCTTAGTGCTCTGAGAGCCCCTTGCAGACCCAGTGGGTCAGACAAGCTCCCACAGCAGGGGCTCCCATCCTGTTCCAAGAAGCCATTAAGAACCAAGAGAGCATTTCTGGTGGATACAAAAAGCAGCAAAGCAACAGCTTCACTGCCCAGGGCACTGCTCCTGCTTGTACCTCGAGTGATGGAAGTGTGGCAGTGCTAATGAGTGATGCTAACCAGCAGCTCAGCAGCAGGAGCCCTGGCACAGAGGTGCAGCACGCTGGTTTCCCTATGGGCACTGAGTGGAGCCAGCACTGTGAGAGGCCCCCCAGCACCACACCCTGCATTACAGAGCTCTTACCTTCACGTTTGGGTTTGCAGAGCATCCCCAGTGCTGTCCAGGAGCGCAGCAGGCAGGTTGGATCCTCCACAGGCAGCCCCACACAGACCCAACACCACCAGGTAAGCTGTGGCATCACTTGCTCACCATCCTAGCACTTAAGCATCCTGGCAGTGAATCTCCATCCCTCTTCATCCCATGGCTTCCCACCCTCTGACTGCCCCAGCAGCACAGCAGAATGCCATGAGACAAGGTGCTATCCCCTAGCTTTTGAGGAGCTCCTTCTGTTTCTCAACCTCCATATGTAAATTTAGGATTGCACTCAGGCTCCACTCCTCTTCTTACATTAACACGAGAAAAGCAACAGCAACTGGTAATTAGCTGGCTCCTGTTCACAGTGCACGAGCCAGAGAGCCTTGGCCAGCTTTGGTTTTATATCCTGAAGGGTTTTTTGAGCATTACTGTGAGGACACTGTTCCCTCACAAGCCTGGCTTGAATAATCCCATCCGCTGCAAGATGCGTGAGGCTTAACAAGTTGTCAGCATCTTTGAATCTTTTCCTTCTTGGGAGACTTGGCTTCACCCCATCAAGTGAAAGCCTTGAGCAAAGGATCCTGTTGGGATCACTGCCTCGAGAGGAACACAGCTCTCAAAGGGGCTGCAAGCACGTTTCCCATCGCTTTCATGTGGCTGCTCACTCCCCTCCCAACATCTCCAAGGTCTCTGCTAAATGTCTGCTGTCTGGCATGCTGAAAAGCCAATGGAAATACTTGCTTTTTCACTCTGAAACGGGAGCAATGCTATTGATGCGACTGCAAATGCCCCGTGCTGCTTACGAGCACAAAAGCAGAGGTGACCATACAAGGAGGTCCCTGGAGTGCTGCATCACCTCAGTTAGAAGCTAAGAAACCCAGGAGAGAAGAGGGATTTTAAGTCTTAGACCAAGATCAAACACTACTGAAAGGAAAAGCAGGCTGCAGTTATCCTGCCATCAACAGCCTGATCCTGCAGACTCCCACCAAGGTCACACCTCCAGAGCTGCCATCTGAAGCTTGCTTTTGCTACCAGCTTTCTTCATCTCACCCCTCTTGCAAGCACCAGCTACAAGCCCACCTCAAACATTCCCTGCAATGGCAATCAGGAGCAGACAGTCAAAAGGAGCAGCTTAGCCAGCAGGAACAGCAACGATCTGCTGGGCTCTTCCTGCCCAACCAGATGTTAAGGGAGCTCTTGGCTGCTAGGGTCCCTTGCCCTGCTCCTCCAAACCAACCATTTGGTTTTTCTGGTGGCTGGAGTCACCTTGTTTTCAGTTTGTTACAATGTGGAGAGCAACGTTCTTGATACCATCTCTGCAGCAGCCTGTGCTGTTGGCATTTAAAGGCATGATATCACAAGCTATCTAACACCATGCAAAAAATCACAAGAATGCTACAACATCCAACTGATCTGGACAGCTGCATGTCATCACTGCCCAAAAAGTCCTGTTCTGTCAACAGGTCTCAGTAAGGTAAGGAAAGCCAGGACTGCCACCCAGCCACTCCAGGATTGGCCCAATGTTTTCGCTTTTAAGAGCTGGCTAGAAGCAAGCTTTCACACACTGAGGGTCTATCTCTATTTACAAGCAGCTTTCTGCTGTCTCGTGGTCCAGGCATGGATCAGTCCACACCCATCCAGCTACACTTCTGAGCCTCTATGCAGCTCTACAACAAATGCAAAGCGCTGTGCAAATAAAAGTCAGAAACTGACAAAAAATGTTTAATATTAGTTTTGAAGAAAAAGTGACCATACTTGCTTAGATGAGAAAATAATGACTAAGTGTGTTTAGCGAGCTCTCCTGCCACTGTCAGCCCACAACTGTGGCTCTCTCCACCGAGGCCCAAACAGAGAGGCAGGCCTCCCTGCAGCTGCTCTCTCAGTACGTGACAATGCAAACTCACTTGGGACACAAAACACAATTGCCGTGGGAGCTGGCGTATGGAGGTTGCACTCAGATCTGTGTTTGGCTGCCGCTCTCGGGCCATGGCACATATCAGCAGAACTGCAAGAGAAGGGAGTTTAAACCCTGATTAGAAAACCTCACTGAGGGAGTTGCAGGTCATGCGCTCGCTGCCTAGAAGAGGGATCCAGGTGACGGTCTTGTTTCTGAAGCTGTCAAGGGCTTGGGGGGGTCTTTGGAGGCAGGGCTCAGCCCCCACAGTAAGGGCTAAATAGAGCTCCTATGTGAATTTCTCAGCCGTGGCTCTGGCACTTGCTAGCAGTGCCATTTCTGCTCACATCTGAGCTCTGCACACAGTATAAAAGCAGTTTGAAAATCCTACGTAATGTCACCGCCACCATCTCTTGGGTGGCAGAAGGAGCACGAAAAGCACTGTGAAGTTGGTCATGGCAGAAGAGGGAATGTGAGGAAGGATAGAGAGGGAATGAGAAGCGAGACATAGCCCCAGCTGGTCTGCAGAGATGGGATGAACCCAGAAGCTCTTGCCTCTGTGCTGGGAGGAAAGATCACTCGCTAGAGCTAGTCAGCGTTTGGCAAGCACATCTGAGGAGAGCAGCTAAGCATCTGCAGCATCGCGGGCAGAGCCACCCTAACACCCCTCAGTGCCAGTAATATCCTTGGTGCGCTACCTTCCAGCGGTTCCCACACTCGTTGCACACGACGAAGGTGGTCATGGGCTCATCGGAGCTGCGGGTCTGCACCTGGGGGAGGACAAAAGGACAGCACAGGTGAGCATCGCGCGCCGCCTCACGGCAGGGTCACAAAGCAGCTCCTTGCCCCCCTCCTCCCCAGCAACCAGGGATTCACGCTGACCATCCGGTCACGCTGTCAGAAATCAAGGTATCAGGGGTGGGGAGCGCAAAGAGCCTCCGTGTAGGATGAATCTGGTTATTTTGCACAGGAACTCACACATCCTCACATGTTCTGAGACCATCAGGAGACTTGCAGATCCTGCAGCTAAACCAAGCTTTGCAGGGTCTGTTTAGATTACAACAAATTAGACAAGCAGCATCAACAGCCGCCTGCCAGCACTCCTAGGGTACAGTGGGTAAACACCAGAGCAGCTGAAAGCTCTGGCACTAAAAGGCCACTGATAGGAACTGGAGGGATGCCCCAGCAGA